TACGCTCCACCCTTCTTTAGGTGGTTGGAATGTCAAACTGAACCCTTTATTTCGCTCACTGGGGTAGACTGTTCTAGTTCCACGTGCCATGTTTGATGGATGTCAGTTATCGCTTATCTCCTGTTAATTTCTCCTGTTAATTTTCATCTGAAATAACCGGGTATTGAACTCACACTCTTTGGGTCCTGTCACTGGATCTAATTAACACCTTTATCCACTGTGCCATGTGTCCTTGAGAATAGTCTACCCCAGTGAGCGAAAAATAGGGTTCAGTTCGACATTCCAACCACCTGAAGAAGGCCGGAGCGTACAGCGTCCGAAACGTTGTGATAAATTTAGCGACAAAGATCTGGGATATGTTTTAACAGAGGACGAAAAGTGTGACACTGAAATGCGAAGGCCAAAGTTGCATGCCAAAAGATAAGCACATTATTGAGAAACAGAAAAATTTGGTTAGAAACAATCAAAGAGTACTGAAGTGTTACATGATATCTGTCCTCCTCTATGGCTGTGAATGCTCGACAATTTCCTCAAAGATGAAGAAGAGACAAAAAGAGAAAATATATAAGGATACTGAGACCGAACATGTGACCAAAGATGAAGTTTTATTGAAAATGGAAACAGAAAGGAAACTTGTACTTATAATCCGGAAGAGAAAGTTGAAATTTCTTAGGTATCCAATGAGGAAGAAGGCTTGGGAAATCTGATACTCACTGGATATAGTTTGAAGGCAAGGACGACTGAGGAAAACAACAAATAATATCCTCAGTGAGCTCAAGTAAATGATGGCAGAACAGGGTAAAGTGACATAACAAAAAGACAAAATTTATTAAGGGCTACAAAGAACAGGAAATTGTGGAGAGCCATGATCACCTACATCCTGGGGGGGCATGGCACATAAAGAAGAAAAAGACTAGATTGTCAGCAAGTTCTCATAATTTTACAGTTGAAGTAACTCGATGTAACAGTAAGTTTATTGCTAAAAGTTTCTTTTCTTGCTCGTGGAACTTTCTTCTGGTTCCTGCTTTCAAGTTAACTTTGACCTTTAACACTTTCACTAACAACTCATTTGCCCATTGCTGCCCCCATCCGGCCAGCCATCTTTAAAGAAAATGCCAAATTTCAACCTACATATTTTATTACACAGAAAACTGGCATCAGTGTGTTTTTCAGCATTCCATTTTCATGGATATACCTGGGAATGACTTACCAGATAAATAATGGGTATACACATGATATCTTTTGAAGCATTGTCCTTTGTGATTTGACGATAGATGGCGCAATGGGACACTCATACCAGCGGTATGCAAAAAATGTATGTTTCTGTACTTAGTCAGCTGGAGCAAGATAAGAAAAACGAAGATCTCCGTAGTTAGCAGCGGAAGTGTTAAAGAATTAAATGCAATGTCATTCATTATCATCTGTCTTCTTAATTACTTTTCTTTTATTGGTTTTGCTCCTTAATAATGATTTTCATTTTCTTATATTCTTTCACACTCAGTAACAACTTGTATCTTAGTGTCTTTATTGATTTGCTTGGTGTGAAATGATTAAAAAATAAGTGTCTTTAATATGTCTGTTTTAATTGCTCTAATAAAATTCGTACATCTGGGAAAATGTAAGTCTTGTCTGCCTGAAGAGATTAAATATATTCTAATTTAGGTTATTGACAGGAACATAATATTTATTTTGTTTTATTATCAAATGTCTGGAGTTAATCATTCAGAGCAATTATATAATATTACAATTAATAGTATTATTAATACTACATTAATTATAGTACTAGGTTGAGTCTTAAATAATTTTCATTTTTCTTTATCCACTTTATGTATCTAAAAGTAAAGTACAATTACATTTTATTCAATTATATAGTGCCCTTAAATTGTGTGCTACCTATTTGCTTGTGTCTTTATATCATGTTGTACTCACCAGATAATGGGTGAGCTATGTGAGAAAGTTATATTTCTAATTTGCATCCCCCACCACTGTTATGGGCGTTAATATATCCATGATACAATAACATGGATAGAATGGAATAGCTGAAAGAAAAGGAATGCCAAACATGTTTTATTCTCAGAGAGAGTTTTATACTGCTAAGTCATGCACAAAAGTATATACAACCATTGACACCTGTCCCACACAGTGAAACTATAACACATGTATACAACAACAAACAATGTGAAATTAACAAGACAAGAGATAGGGATTCATTTGTAATAATTCTTGATGGGAATATGGATTACTGAAGGATTTTTCTGTGTTTCTTGATAAGCCATATTTATATCTCCCAACAGGGATTTAAATGAGGTGTATTTATCTTCTATGTCAATGGCGAGGATATATTTCCCAAATAGAAAACAAAGAGTCATGGGTATCTCCCAACATGGAGACTGCTAGGTGTAAATAGTTTCTATATCTAGTGAGAACATATTTCCCAAAGAGGAAAATGGTGCTATGGGTGGGCAGATTTTGTTTCGAAATGGGCGAGATTTACCCTTTGCCTGTGCTAAAAGTGTTACAGTTTTTTGTGTATAGTATCTAACTAGTGAGCCAATGCAAATGGCTTGACTCACTTTATAGTCTACCAATAGAAGGTTAACCAATCAGAAGACGTGGAACATACAACCCGTCGTGTATAAAGGCGGCCATTTTTGTTTTCCTACCCGAATGACCAGTGCCAACTTGTCAGGCGGAGATGACAGAAGGAAGTACTACGCCCTGCTACTTTGCTGCGATATCCACTGCTAACCTGAACTACGCTTTCCTACTGTCTCCGAAATATTCACTGCTAACCTCTAGATTCTATACTCAAAGATGACCGTCATAAAATGTCTAAGAAAAAGAAAACTCTCCGTTTGACTCCATGAAGCTAACCAGAGCAGCACTCCCTCTACAAGGCACTCGACGTAGGACTCCGTGTTGAGTCTGAGGCCCTGTAGGAAAATGAATGGATGCATAACGTCACCGTCATTAGTAATCACTTCAAACACCATGTTGTTGATTGGATATATCATCCAACTCTTCTTGAATCCTCTGCACTGATTGACATCCAAATACTGAAATGTTTGTACTGGAGCTTCCAGAGTGAATGCCAAGGAGTACAGCATGCCGTTTCCAAATTTCTGACAAAGTGAATTGCACCCTGGTGCTCTTTTTCTCACAGATGGTGCCCAACTGACCCTACTATGCTGTGCAGTTGAGAAAATCAAAAAAACCCAATGTGCATGTGCAAAGTTAAAAGAATAAAATGGCGACAATTTACCCATCGCACCATGTAAGAAAAGCCATATCACTTGGGGGCTTTCAACAGCATCGACAACTAAAATGGATATCAGAGAAAATGATAAATAAAGATATTGAGGCAGGAAAAACCCTGTTAATAATGAAAATAGCGAAACAGTGGACTTGAGAAATCGAGTTTCCAAAATAATTATTTGTAAATTTTAGAATTAACAATGGATGCAAGTATAAACAAACAAATCTTACATATAGCTGATCAATTTTTACATACAGAGGTTCAATTTTGTATATAGACTGAAGTATATTAATAATAATAAAAAAAAGACTAATTTTGTTATTTAATCTCGATTTATAAAAGGCAGGATGTGTGTGAGTGTGTAACGAATGCACGGCCGCAATTTTCGACGGATTTGCACCAACATTTTCATGCACATGTTCCAAGTTAGGGGGAAGGCCAAGACTGACTTTGCATTTCCCAACTCCCATCGATAGTGGAAATAATCGATGTTTTCATGCTTGTACGGCAGTTTTCATGTAGTTTGCAGCCATTTTCTACTGGCCAGATTGAGAGCCTATTCTGCTGCTTTAAATATCTTCTTTATCCATGAGGAGATTGGCCAGCATTCACTGCCATATAGGAGGACTGATATTACATAATATTTCAGTACTCTTTTCATTGTTTCTCTTACTTGAAGTCTCTTACACTGTGAAATGGTTCAGCATTTACTGCTATATAGGAGGACTGATGTTACATAACATTTCAGTACTCTTCTCTTTGTTTCTGTTGCTTCAAGTCTCTTCTTCATCTTTGAGAAGATTGTCCAGCATTCCCTGCCATATAGAAGGACTGATATTGCTAAATAACAATTCAGTACTCTTATGTTTGTTTCTGTCATTTCAAGTTTCTTAATCTGTCAGGAGATTGTTCCGCATTCACTGCCATATTGGACCGATATTACATAACCGTTTAGTACTCTTTTCTTTGTTTCCATCACCTCAAGTTTCTTCTTTTTCTGTAAGAAAATTGTTCTGCATTCACTGCCATTTCATACTCAAATTTTAAATAATCTTTCAAAAACTTTGAAATGTGTATATATAATCTAAAAGAATGTTTGCAGAATTTTGCTTCCAGATTGAAAAAAAAAAAAAGTTTAGCTTTCATTAAAACGTATATCATTTTCTTCTAAACCGTTTTAGAATAATGAATAATTTTAAGCGATTGGGAAAGAAAAACCCTGTAAAGCAGGCCATTTCAGACAGAAATGTCAATAGTTTATCATTTTTAATACCCAGGGTGCTGGTCAGAGTCGTCGTATTTATTTAACAAACCTGAAACACAAAAAGTACGGACAAAATCTTTTCATCGTTGCCAGAAACGAGTAAGTCATCCATTAGAGCTACTTGACATCTGTCACCAATTCATTTTACCCATGTGTCATATAAAAGTCAAAACATTCAGTTTGTTGCCAGCTATTTTGGAGTGGAGGATAAACAATTGCCACTCCTCTGTGTACTCTGACACTTATCCTCATCCCATCTATCTTTATTGCTTCTTTTTGACAAGTGTCATTCGAAATAATCTCAAGAGACCGACAAGTTCAGTAGACAAAATTTCAGAGTTCATCAGTTAGTTTTTACTCTTGTTGAAGAATATTCGATTTTATATTTAATACTGGCAAATCTACCAAGTTTCAGCTGTAAATGTTTTTTTTTTAATCGTCTTCTTTTATGTGCCATGTCCCTTCAGAATGTAGGCGATCATGGCCCTCCACCTCCTCCTGTCCCTTGTAAGCTCTTAATAAATATTGTCTTTTTGTTATTTCTCCCAGATTCTGTTCTGTCATCCACTTGCTCAGGCTCTTTTAGTATGTCATGCATTGCTTTCCCCCTGTCTTTCTTTCTCTCTATCCTTCTTGAGATTTTCCAAGACCTTCTTCCTTCCAAGCCCTTCTTCCTTATTATGTGTGCCAGAAATTTCAACTGCTTCTTTATGATGATAAGTATAAGCCTCTTCTTTGTTTCCATTCTTTCTAAAACCTTGCCATCGCTTATATGTTTGGCCCATGATATCCTCAGCATCTTTCTGTAGAACGGCATTTCTTTTGCTTTGAGTATCTTCTTCATCTTTGAGGAGATTGTTCCACATTCGCTGCCATACAGGAGCACAGATATGATGTAACAGTTCAGTACTCTTTTCCTTATTTCTAATGAGACTTTATTATCCCGTAATACTCTACTTAGCTTTTGAAACGCATTTTTGGCCATCCGAATATGTCTTCGGATCTTAGTTTTGCACTTTCCGTCCTCTCTTAGAACACTTCCCAGATATTTAAATTTCTGTACCTGCCTGTATCCTCGATCTGTAAATTACATTTGGGATTCATTTTTGTTGCTGTTGACCATACATTCTGTCTTCTTGTAGTTTATGCTTAGTCTGTTCTAGTGTTGAAACTTGACTAATGCATGGAATAATAATACAACACAAAATGTACTTAGAACAAAATGTATTGAAACAAGAAAGTGTACACAATATTTACATATAGTCTTTTGTATATTTCTGGGAAGACCATTCCTGGAGAATGGGTTGACTTAGTCGCAGTCGGGCAGAGTCTCTGGATTGAATCTCTTGATTCCTCCCCCCGTCTTCCCGGTACCAACCATATTTATATGGTCGGTACTCCACTATGAAAATTAGGTGGATCCTACCACAACATCTAGTGAGATATTTTCTATCAGTTCTTCATCCAATACCACTCAAGATATACGGAATCATGTGGCTGTATTAATGTAAGATGGATCATGTGGTTGTAAGAATGTAAGATGAATCATGTGGTTGTATGAATGTAAGATGAATAGTGAATAAATAAAGATTAAAAGAATATTTTTTAATACTGCGATGTTCCCCCTTTACAAGACTCGGGTGCCACTCAAGGTAGAGAATTAGATGTGGGGGCTATTTGTGTGTATAGGAGTGGAAGATAACAGTTAACCCTGGCCTTGAACAGATTAAGATTGTAGTGATTGGGGAAACATCCTCTTGGGAGTCTGTTCTCCTGGGCAGTGGTTCGCGGGAAGAAGCTGTTCTAGTGGAACTTACTTCTCACCAATGGGTAGTTTATATGGATAGGAGGGGAAGATAACTCTAGACTTGAACAGATTAAGATTGTAGTGATTGGGGAAACATCCTCTTGGGAGTCGTTTCCATAGGGTTCATGGGAAGAATCTGTTTGAGAGGAACTTACCCCTCGCCGATGAAATATGAAGGGAATGTGGGAGTTACAGAGTAAGACGCACAGTTTATAGGGATATGTGGGTAAAATAATGGTTGATCTTAGACTTGAACAGGTAGTGATTGGGAAATCATGTTCTTGGGAGTCAGTTCCACAAAGTGGCGGTTCATGAGAAGAAGCTGCTTGATCGGAACTTACATCTCCCCAATAGAATATGAAGGGAATGAAGATGGTTCTCTATAATGTTCATGGAATGGAACATCTTAGCCAGGAAGGTTAGAACTAGTGGAATGAAGCAATGTTGTTTGCCTGAACACTTTCTATAAAAATAGTGACAGCGATGCAAGAGGCTAATGATGTTTCATCTGTGTGAAAGTGGTTGTGGAATGGAAAATATTTAACCACCCACAAGAATACGAAGATACATTCGTACTCTCTTGAGACTGGAGAGTGAAGACTGGGCAGCTTCGGTTCATATAAGGCAACATAATTTATTTTTGACCAGAACAGGCTCTTGTTAAGTTAGAGGATGGCATCTGGAGTTTGGTATTTTGTAAAGTGGTACAAGGAACCAAACATTTTTCCAGCGTATTTAGTGATGGATAGTATGTATGAGTTCCACTTGAGGTCTGGGTTGAGATTAAGTCTTAGTAGGTGCTCAAGGCAATGGGGCCTCCTTGAGAGAATACCTGGTTATTACAATAGGTGAAAGTAATAGAATACAAAGAGAATGAGGATGATTAATTCCAGTTTACGTGGCATGACGGGTCTTAGATGCAAATGTCTGACTTAGTGGAATGTAGCTTGTTCGAACAGTTGCCATAGAAATAGTGATAGTGTAGCGAGAAGCATGCGACAATCCTTTGGTTTGAAAAGAGCTGTAGGAGGAAGATAATTCTTCAGCCACAAAACTGCCTAAGTGCATTTGAAGGTTAAGCACTGGTCAACAAAGAAAAAATTTTAAATGGTGTCGAGACACCCAACATCTTTTTTAGCTAATATGATGGTGCTGAATCTGAAAATGACCGTACTTTTTCTTGGTTAGTTACCGTTTTGCTGTACAGAAATGCCTCATTTTTTTTAAAAAAGCATTTTTTTTTCATTTGTCTTCTGTATATTTAATATTGACCAATGACAATATTTCTCAAAATAAAATCGTAGAAACTTCTCAATTCATATTTAAACCAACAAATATTGGTCTGCTTAGTGAGAAATACTATTTTTGCAATAACAATAAGAGTAAAAATTTTGTCGTTTTTGATTGCCTGCCATGTTCAATGTTATTTAAGTCCCTTTGATACTCCAGCAGTATCATATACAATGGAATAGGTGCATTCACTTTGGATGTCTTCAGTTGAAGTTTCTTTCCAACTGTGAAAACAAAATTCTCTCAATATGTTTGGTTTCCTTCCGTAGTGAAGAGATAAAAGCGATGGGATAAATTTATAAATATCAAACGAGATTTTAGGGTTTCAGTTTTTACATCACCTTAATTATCAAGTTTACTTAAGTGTACTAATAATAAAGTTTATCAGTTAATTTGAATTTTGACGATAAATTGGAAAACTTCATTAAATTATATTTTAAAATTTGATTTCAAGCGATCAATGTATAGCTATTTTAGAAGAAGTTGCATGATTTTATATAGAGCTTGTATGGATCCATGTTTTTTTCCTTGTGGGTAACTTTATTCATTTTCTCATCCTATTCTTAGCCGTCATGTTCTGTTCTCTTGACTATTATTTTTTACTTTACAGAGTATTATTACTATTATTAATATTTGTGTATGTTATGTTTCCTGTTTTGCATCCTGCAGAGCCAGGTCTGAATTATGGCTTCTTAGGCCCCGTAGGAGAATTGTCATTTAATTGATAGCACTTTTCTTAGTACGTGGGATGTTTCTAGTAGGACGATCTTATCGGCAACTTGTATGTTGATGTTACCTGGGACACTGTTAGTCCAAAAACTATTGATTCCCTACATCCTGTTAATCTCGATATTTGGACAACTAATTTTCCTTCTAGATGGTACTTTCCCCATTCAAAATCAAAGAATTTCTTGTCTTGTATGCACTCACACATACTAAAAAAATAACTTAATAATTCCTTCTAGATTTTCCCCCTTTAAAAATCAAAGAGTTCCCTGTGGGGTATGCGCCCCACGTTTGGAACCATGGGATTAAAACCTCTAATCAGTTAAGATCAAAAGCCACGTGAATCGTGTTTAGTGTAGCAATGCATTTATTATTATTATTATTATTATTATTATTATCAATAGCAATATTATTGTTTTCATATTCCACGAGAGTTCTGTAAATGTATAAGATACTTGTGCCAATTGCCCTATTGCCTCATTAATTATTTGAGTATAAAGACTTTAACAAATATTAAATTAACTATTATAAGTCTGAATACTGGTTATTTTTTAAAGAATAAAGATGGATGCAAATGAAAATATTTTAAATTGACACATTTTTCTATTTTATTGAAACAGATGTTAAAAACATGAGAGGCTTATCATGTCCCCTTTCTTTCTGAAAGGAGAAACAATATGGCTCTTCTTTCTTTGTCGCACTGAAACCAAACAGCATTGCTGTAAAAGTAAAGATGGCCTTATGTATTACTTACAGGCCAATAGTAGAGAGTTAGCTCAGTTATAAATGATGGAAATAATGAAATCCTGAATGAAAAACACAAAAGAACTACCAAATGAAGAGATACTCTTCTTCTGCAAAGACGTGAAAATCATCATATACAGGGATAAATTGTCGTCTAAATTGCACAAAAAGGGTAATAAGACTGGCATCTCATTTTAACAGATATATTTACTAAAACTGCACAAAAATATCTTGAAATACTAAAGAGTAAATCAATTCAATGAAATTGCCATTTGCTTCAGCTGCAACCTCCAGTCGACTTAGGAATCTCCTGCAACTCTTCTGAACAATCTCCTTATATAAGTTGGTAATGCTGCCATATTCTTTGCCTTCAGTTCATCTTTGGTGTTACAAAGACTTTTGTTGATCTCTCACTCAACTGTGCCTCTCACATAATAATGAAGGGGTTGCAGTCTGGGGAGTTAAGTGGCCAGTTGTAAGGAGTGATGTGGCTGCAGAAATTGTCTGACAGCCATGACTGGGTTCTCCTGCTTATGCAGAATCCTTCAAGGAGTCACCCTCCCAGCGAAACCTCTCTGGCTATTGATCTGATTGACTCGGAGGGATTGTTTTCAATCATGGCTTGAATCTCATGAACAAATTTGGTTGTTCTTTTCTTAACAGAAGGATCAGAATAAGTTTTCCGAGCTACGGTACCTGTGTAATAATCATTAGATACATCTAACTCTTTCAGAATCGTCTGCACTGTCCTCAAATTGACACTAAAATATTCTGAAATGTTCGTATTGGAGAATCTGGCATGAATATCAACTAGTACAGTATACCGTTTTCCCAATTTCTGGCAAAGTGAATCTCAGAGTTGTGTTGCCAGCAAAGAAAAAATGTATATTTATTATTAATATGACTATAAATATAGTCATGGGATACAAGTGTTTTGCCACAGTTCAAATTAACGGTCAACTAAAATTATACAAGTTCACAAAATTTGCTTATTTATTCAATTGTTTGTCAATATCTATTGTCCATAATATTAAAGGAGATCCATACCTCGTTTGCTCGGCCAAAATTTGATTTGTAACTGAATTTGTTCTTTAGAAATTTAAATCTTTTTGAGGCAATATTATCAGTTGTTTGCCATCCTCCTACATGCTTAGGCAATTATGTATCTTTTGATACATGACTGATGAGGCATATTTTTTTATATAGTATATTGCCATTTATATATAGACCAGTTGTCATCCAATATAGAACCATGGGAAAAGTGAATTTAGCCATAAATGAAAGGATTCATATATTTCCCAAGGGTATTATTTAAGTGAATGTAATGGATTCAACTGGTTCGAACTCTATATATATATATGAGAGAAATCAGAGAGAGAGGCAAATATATATATATAAAAGGATTCTGGTGAAATAAATTATTATAATGGTACCTTAAAGTGGCCTGTTTTTCTTTTAAATATTAGCTCTGGATTTAAATTTGAGCTCTCAGGATTTCACCCTCCTTATGATTAGCCATATTGGTGTTACCATATATAAATATATATATATATATATATATATATATATATTTTTTTTTATAAAATAGACAATTTTTAAATACCAGGACTATTTTCCTATTGTCTATTTAATTCAAGTTTGTCTTCCCCACAGATATATTGCAAGAACTTTAACACATTGTCTGTCCTGTTATTTACCCATATCTGTGGGTGGAAGAAGTGGATTTATAACTTTCCCAGGTGTATTAGTATTTACCTGCTAATACTTTTGTGGGGAAAAATCTGCTTCGTCAGTCATGTATCAAAAGATACATGATTGCCTAAGAGTGTATCATGCATTTCACATAACTGATAATATTGACCCAAACAGATTTAAATTTTTAAAGAACAGGTTCAGTTACAAATCAAATTTTGGTCTAGCAAACGAGGTATAGTGGACTAAATGATTGGTTTGTAAATTTGCTGAGAGTTAATTGTGTCTTTATTGTCTGGGCCGGTTAGATCTGATTTTGTCTCTGATGAAACCGGAGGGAGTAATCACTGATTAGACCTAATATGAATATATATATATAATAAAAATGATATATCTCTAGACATGCACCACAGAACGCTAAGTACCGTAGATTAAATAAAGTGTTTAGTCCACAATTCCCAGATGGTTACACGGATCAAGAACTAAGGAAAACTGGAGAGTGAAACAACCAAAATGTTTTGATAAAAGCAATGAAGACAAACGCGTTAATATAAATATAAATAATGGATTCGTTTTTGTTTTCAGGAAATTTTATTTATTTTACTTCGACCAGAAATTTTATTTTATTTAAATTTTCGTTTTCTTTTGCCACAGAATGAAAGAAATTTAATACGGTTAAGAAATTGTCTGCATCTTTCTTTTTATTTCTCTTTTTCTTACTCTTCTTCTCTTTCGGTCTATTTCTCTCTTTTCTTATCTTTCTTAGTCCCTTTCTCACCCTCTTTTTTCACTCTTATTCGCTTTCGGTCAATTTCACTCCCTTGTTATCATTCTTGATCTCTTTCATTCTCTCTCGTTTTATGATTTTTACTCTCCATTCTTTCTCTTTATCACTCTTGACACTTTCTTTATTTTTCTCTCTCTTCTTATTACTCTTATTCCATTTCTATTTCCTTCTCTCTTTTTCATAATCTTTAACCTCTCTTCCTCTCTTTTTTTATCACTCACGCTTCTTTCTTTCTTTTTCTCTCTCTCTCTCTTCTTATCACTCTTATTCCATTTCTATTTCTTTCTCTCTCTTTTTCATCATTTTTATCCAATCACTCCCTCTCTCTTCTTATCATTCATGCTTCTTTCTTTCTTTTTCTCTCTCTCTTCTTATCACTCTTATTCTATTTCTATTTCTTTCTCTCTCTTTTCATCATTTTTATCCAATCACTCCCTCTCTCTTCTTATCATTCATGCTTCTTTCTTTCTTTTTCTCTCTCTTCTTATCACTCTTATTCCATTTCTATTTCTTTCTCTCTTTTTCATCATTTTATCCAATCACTCCCTCTCTCTTCTTATCATTCAAGCTTCTTTCTTTCTTTTTTCTCTTCTTCTTATCACTCTTATTCTATTTCTAATTCTTTCTCTCTCTTTTCATCATTTTTATCCAATCACTCCCTCTCTCTTCTTATCATTCATGCTTCTTTCTTTCTTTTTCTCTCTCTCTTCTTATCACTCTTATTCTATTTCTATTTCTTTCTCTCTCTTTTTCATCATTTTTATCCAATCACTCCCTCTCTCTTCTTATCATTCATGCTTCTTTCTTTCTTTTTCTCTCTCTCTTCTTATCACTCTTATTCTATTTTTAATTCTTTCTCTCTCTTTTCATCATTTTTTATCCAATCACTCCCTCTCTCTTTTTATCAATCTTATCTCATTTCTTTCTTTCTCTCTCTCTCTCTCTTCTTATCACTCTTATTCCATTTCTAATTCTTTCTCTCTCTTTTCATCATTTTTTATCCAATCACTCCCTCTCTCTTTTTATCAATCTTATCTCATTTCTTTCTTTCTCTCTCTCTCTCTTCTCATCACTCATATTCCATTTCTATTTCTTTCTCTCACTTTTCATCATTTTTATCCAATCACTCCCTCTCTCTTCTTATCACCCATGCTTCTTTCTTTTTTTTTCTCTCTCTCTCTTCTTATCACTCATATTCCATTTCTATTTCTTTCCATCTTTCTATTGTTCTGCTGCTGATAACTGGCACCATTTATATTCAGATTATATTTGTCCAATGGCAAACAAAAACGTTCAGGACTTGACTATTTTGAAAAATACTGTCCAAAGTTAAACCAATTTTAATAAAGAACCAACCAATACAAATGTCTGACTTCCTTGGCACAAACACATCTTTTACAAAACTTTAGTAAATACCTTCCCCACATATTTATCTTGGGATCTTTGTTGCAATGAGAGCCTGGCCAGCTGAAAACTTTGAACTTGTCCAAAGTTCTGTCATCTTTATTTTCTTATTTGTCCTTGCCTATTAATGGCTATCAATTTGGATGCCAATTACCTCGATACAGCTTCTTATATATCCTGCGGAGCCAAGGTGAGTAATGTTTATTTGGTTATGGTGTTATTTGCTAGTATAGACAGTTACTAAGCTGAGATAAGCCTGGCACAAGACCAAATGGGTTTGATGATAGAGTAGAAAGGTTTTGTTGCGATAGCCTTCCTGGTGGGGATGAACCTGTCTTAAACGTAAACATTCTCACTCATGGATTTTATCTGGAACTGAACACTGGCCACTGTCATTAGAAAGCTGCCTCATTTGTAAGATGCAGTCAAAACTTCACACCTCTCCCCCACATATGAATCATCATCACAACCATTTTTTTTCTAAGAAAAGAGCAGGATTAATCTTTGTTGTGGTAGGATCCACCTAATTTGCATAGTGGAGTACCGACCATATAAATATATATATAAATACATTTTGTGTTGCATTATTATTCCATGCATTAGTCAAGTTTCAACAATGGCGACGAGGATGAGATACATTGCTGAAACTTGACTAATGCATGGAATAATAATGCAACACAAAAGGTACTTAGAACAAAAGGTATGGAAACAAGAAAGTGTACACAATATTTACATATAGTCTTTTGTATATTCCTGGTAAAACCGTTCCTGGAGAATGTGTTGACTGAGTCGCAGTCGGGCAGAGTCTCTGGTTGAATCTCTTGATTCCACCTCTCTTCCCGGTACCAACCATATTTATATGGTTGGTACTCCACTATGCAAATTAGGTGGATCCTACCACAACAATCTTACACAAAGTAAGGTGGGTACTGCCTGACAGAGGATTTGTTATTACAGTTTGAGGCAAGACTTTTCTAAGGTCAGATGCTCTTTTTGATGCCCAACTCAGTCCAAGTACACGCAGTGTTTTTTATCGAGAAGCCATGTCTAGGAACCTTTGCTATTCAAAGCTTGAGACCCCATCTTAGTCTTCTGGGAATTTTTGTGAAGAGGCGTTAGCCAAATATTCTAGAGTAGCATCCTAACTGTACTAGGTATCGCCAACCATTAGTTCCTCTAGAGAACTCATCCACTTGCCAAAGGGAGGAGTGCTGACCAAAACGTTTGATGCAGACAGTGCTAACAAACTGTATCCCACCAGCCTGCAGTCACTGGTTTCGCTGAATACCTGGCACCAGGAGGTAGGGGTTGCTAAGACTTACTCAAGGTCTTACCCGCCACTATAGATACAGTTGCACACAACTATAGAGCATTTTTACATAATAATTTCATTCAAAATCTCTGAAAAAGCTGATAATTAATATTAATAAATGTCTCTAACAGGGCCAATATTTTTTTTGTAGAAAATTCAATACTGCCAATTATTAAAAGATCTCCAAAGCGGATGAAAATTATATACACAGGTTGTGGCAGAAATATCGCCCACATTTTAAACTGGCACCTGTGTGGTGTTAGTGAACTTAGGCAAGTGGAAATTGTGATTTCATTTATCTAATGGGTTACCATATTGTTTTCAGATACCATCATGAATTGGCCCAGCGCACTTTTACATTTGCTTTCAAAATGTTTTTTTTTTTTTTTTTTAAGACTGGTGTAATTGCAACAACACTGGTATCTTTTCATGCTCATTTCATGTGATGTCAGAATGATGCTATACCAAATAGAATATTGATACGGTTATGGTTTGAAATTTTCATGGCCACAGGTTGACATGAGTACAAACCCTCCGCCAATAGATACTTAGATTTATTTGTAAGTACAAGCTTTGCATACTAAAACCAAATATGCTGCCAAAAGCTTACACGTTTGATTTATGACCAATGTTTGCCATTCCCATAATGAAGTAATTTCTCTGACAGAGACTCATCCTTTTTCTTCTCCACATCACCAGTGTTCCACCTAATAAATAGTTATTGTCTGTTTTATAAATCCATGTTCGTATTCATATATGTGTTATGGTTCGGTTCCTTGCACCACGGTGATCGTCCAAGGTAGAACCAATAAAGAAGAACTCGAACACGGATATCAAATAACACAGATATATTACAAACAGGAATATATACAGAGAAAAAGAAGTGTTAGTACGAACAATCAGGTTTAGTAGTAATTGTTTGAACGCGACTCTGTTTGACTGACAGACTTCTGACGGACTTCCCTCCAGACTTCAGACTGAACGATATTCGGTCACCCCCCACCTACGAGGGCGTCATGTGGCACAAGGCCTTTTTAACGTGGGATCTCCGAGCCCGTGGGCTCGGCCAAAAATATGCCCATTGAACCCGTATAAACGGGTTCAGGGTCGGTTTACCTCCCCGAAAGAGAATCCGCCCTTCGGCGTAGCCTCCTTCGGGTTCCTCCCCGCCCGAAAGCAGAGAGTTCAACCGATTAGCCGATCAGCCGGTCGACCGACTTCGGACTGAACTCCCTGCTTCCTCTTGAGGCGCAGTATTTATTACGTATTGAATAGTCCATTATGTTATTATGGGTAAGATCCCATAACAATATGTTTCTGTAGTTAGAGACGTTGTTTAATTAGATCCAATGTAACAAATTGTGGCTCTTGCGCATTCTACATTGTTTTGTTTATGGTTAATTCTGGTAGTTCCGCTTTTGTTGCACGCAATTCCAACTCACTAAATGTGATGTCATTTAAATAATCAAACTGGATATTTTTTTATGTGTATTTTAATTTTTTTATACACACTTCAATATATGATGCTCGATAGAGAAAGACATCTTATTTAATGTTGGCTGCCAAGAGTAAATAAGGTATATTTCCCAATTTGTATCGGTTTCAATATGATATGATCGTAGACTCCCAAAATAGGGATGTTAGCTCTAACACATGTACCGAGTAAAATAATGGTTATGATAATAATAATAACGTAATAACGTATTTTCTTGAGTTTGTATTATATGTGCCGTATAATACGAATATATGTTTCTGAAAATAAAGCCAGAAATAGTTTTAGATTGTAAGAATTTTTGGAGATAGTACAGATTTTTATGATAATAGTCCAACTAATTAACCCGTAGCTGAGGGGAAGAAAGGTGGATTTATATCTTTCCCAAAGGTATTTGAGCATGGATATTATGTGAATATAACGAATCCAATGAGAATTGGCTTTTCGATTAACAATTCAGAGACATTATTAATTACCACCTTCATATCCAGACTTACAGGAAAGAAATGAAATTTTAGTATATTAATCCAAATTTATATACCACTTGTGGTCTTTTTTTTTTGCTTGTGTTACAAATAACCATTTACTTAAATAAATGCCATAAATAAAACATCATGACAACAAAACAACGCACTGTATTGCTACCTCATTCTTTCAAAAGTTTTCAGTGTTGCCGGCCAGTTTTAAGATACAATTTCATCCCAAGCAAGGCAATAAATCTACTAAGACGCAAGGCTTTACTGAGTGAAAGAAACTGAAAAAAAAACCCAAAAAAACAATACGTATGTAAATTCTTTTTGGAAAAGTTGTACCATATTATCTATTAAAATCTCAATGTCGTACGCACATTTCACTAAAATATCATATTTAATTCTTCGTCATATTAAAGAATAGAAATGAACTGAATATTTAGCCATTAGGTGTTTCTTCTAATTTCCATTTCAATTTTTTTTTAATCATTTCACCCCAAAGAAGGCCATCAAGACACAAGGGGTTACTGCATGTTAGACAATATGAGAAAATATTCTATTAAGGATAAATATATAAGGAATCATTATTTATTATCTGTCTCCATCTTTGAGATGAGATATTATGATTACTTGTATTATTTACATTATTTGAACTGTTATCCTCACATTCATTGCCATATTCACAACGTTTCGGTTGTTGTACACTCTGGCCTTCTTCAGATGATTGAAATATTGAACTGAACCATTTATTTCATCCACCAGAGCAGATTGTTGCTGAGACATTAGTTTTATAAGTTCCCAAAATTCATACTCATATATCCTCATGGACACATGGCCCAGTGGATAAAGACGTTGGTTATATCCAGTGACCAGATCCAAAGAGATCTGAGTTCAATACTAATCTGTGAGAGTTGAGTTAAATGGAAATAACTGAGACATCTGGAAGAGGCATGGCATGTGTAACAAGAGCAATTTTGGACGAAATAAAGTGTTTGGTTTAAAATTCCAATTCCCTGAAGAAGGCCATCAATGAAGATTATAAAAAACAGTCCATGTAATGTAAATAATACAAGTAATCATAATACCTCATCTCAGAGATATAGACAGATATAAAAACATAATGATATGAAATGACATATGATCTGATAATAATTTAACTATTTTTGCACAACGCCGGCTACACTAACTATTCTAAACCTAGCTAATCAGATTCACAACCCATTCATCCATTACAATCTTCTCACTCATCGCAAAAACTCATCCATCAACATTCAATCCGACAGTCATCACAACACCACATATTTATGGGTCCCTGAAAAAAAGCCCATTATATAAAAATGTCATAATGTTAAAAAAAAATCTCCCTTTTTAATTATTTTAGTTTTCTTCTAAAAATATATAAAATATTAGTATGAAATGATATATAACTTCAAAGCACTTTCAAAGCACACAAATGTATGCTGTTTTTTTTTTCCTAGCCAATAAAATAGGACCGTTCTCAGTTTCATCTGACTCAGTCCCAGTCTGTCTTGCCTTGAAGTCAGAACACTACATTCATTTA